TTAAGATACTCTGTTCCCATAACTACCCCCATTACAAGGTCCCTACATACAAAAATCTATTGTTAACTCAGCTACCTGTATCCAAGGTCAATTCTAGCCTATTGCACCCAAGGTCATTTCCTACTTGCTCCTGTTCCTTGTTATAAAACATATAAAACCTCTATTCAAGTGACTCTGTTTGCTGCACCTGGCAGACAGGCAGCCTGACAGACAATCCCTGTCAATAAACATTTGCTTGAACTCAGAGATGTGTCTCTTGTGCATATTTGTACCAACTACCCTAACATTTACCTCTCCTTAAATGTCTTTGGCATGGAAATATTTTCATGTTTCAAATAAAACATTTTAGAATACACTTGCTRTAGATAGATTCCTTTGGCCTTCATTTTAGAGACATAAGTGGATCAAGTATTCTCATCAACCTGAAGAGAATATCACTTCAATGTACCCCTTTTCTTCGACTTCTGATTATAAATTGATAGATGAGGTGCCAAGAATAAGTCGCACTGAATGGTTGATATGAATAGTAGAGTAACGAGGGAGAAAAAAAAAATCTCCTCTGTAAATTTCTGATAAGGAAAAGATTGGCCTTTCCTTTACGTTTGTGTCTTTTGTAAGTGAGAATAATATGCCAACCTCTCCCTCTGATCTCCCTTTTCTTTTACCATTAACATAGTATATTAGATGACAGGAAATGTATTGTTTTCTCATTCTTCACAGAAAATTATCACAAATTGAAGAGCTTAAATAATACAAATTTATTTTATCAACTTCATGAGGTTATCTTTTGTGAGGTAGGAGCATGGATGTAGGTATGTAGGTTTTCTGTCTGGAGACACACATCCCTTCTCACATTTCCTAAGGCTTCACTTTTTTCACTTTAGATGAAGTTAGTATATCACAGTTGGTTTATAGCCTTTTCTTACATAAGCAAAATGTAGCTCTCTCTCACATTAAGATGTCTCAGCATATGCTAAATCTTTGTAAATGTGTATATTTCCTGATTTCATCATATTGTTTGGATTCATAAATCTCAAAAATAGCTAAATATTGAAATATTTTGTGTATACTTTACATCCCTAAGTGTTAACTACTCACTAACAGGATGAATGACACTCTTCTAGGTATTATATTTTGCCATATGCAAGAGAAAATATTTTTATCATTTGACATTTGTGTAGATTGCGTTGTCTTCCTGTATAATACAAAGGTATCCTGGACTCTTACATTATTAATAGTAAATTGGCTGCCACAGTATTATCACTACTATTGTTAATTCTTGATTCTGTGGTATTGGGCCTTATTCTAATTGCTATATATGGATTGTCTTATTAAGACATACAACAATGATGTTATAACCATATTGTTAAGAAGTACTCKTTTCCAATTTTATAGATGAGAAAGCTGAGAATTATATATGTTAAATAATGTATTTAGATAATGTAATAACATATATATGTTAAATAATGGCAAATTTGTGATCCAAATACAATTCTAGTTGTRAGAAGCTCTTAGCCATTATATATCCTACAAAATCTCACAATACTATTACAACAACAACAAAATAATTGTACATTCACTGTATGGCTAAATGTTCATGYATTTTCATTTCCAGTACCAATTTTCTCCTTCTGCATAAATACTGCTTTGCATTTGGATGAATTGCTTTGGAAATCTATATTCTTTAACTTTTGTATCTAGGAGTATATCTTATGAAGGATATTTAAAGTTGTACAGACTTTCAAACATAAAATAAAGAAAGAAGAAAGAAAAAAGGCTRTTAGTTACTATTAGAGATGCACTGAATTTGTCTTTATAGAGGCTATGCTCACTGAGAAAGAAATACATACCAATATGATTTTATTTTTATAACCTTTATTTTTAGATTCTATTACAATGTGTAAATCTCAAGTATCACTACAATATAATTTATGACAAACTTAAACATTTTGAGCATTCATAGATCTATGAAATTTGTGAAGAACTATGTAAACAGCATTATTATATTCATGGCTATTCACTTATTTTCATGAAGCAATCCTTGATTGTTTTCCTCAAGAATACAATAACATAACAAACCATACATATTTAAAAAAAATGGTGGCCTCTATTCATGGGTCCTAAACCCAGTCCAATTACATGGCCATCCTACTTTAGCTGACCCTCTTTTCATTATTTCCATTAACATTCTCTGAAATTGCTAGTAAGGAGTGCTTTATTTACATATGCATTTTATTTTTAGTCTTTTTAATAAAGCTATCAAAATTCTATAAAATAGAGCTAAACATCTTATGTTGAGATTTTCAACAATTAAGTATTTAGAAACAGCTCACATGTCACTTATATCTTTGCAAATTAGGTAACAGACAAAAAGGTTAAATGAGATTCTTCTATTTACACCAAAATTCTATGTATGGATTTGTGTTCAAATCTGTTTGCTTCTATTTTGTCTAATTTTAAATTTTCATTGTAATTGCCATTCTACATCATTAAGTTCAATGAATATATAATTTATGTAGTAATATGACAATGCCTTCAKAAGGGTAGTATTTTTATAATTAGTACAAACAATAATCTACGTAAAAGAGAAGTCTATTTTTACTTAAAGCTTTACTTAATGAGCTCTTGGTGCCAAATATTTATCTTTAATTSATAAAATGTCACAAGTAGTCACTTCTGGGAGAAGAATATCTGTATAAAATCTAACCATGTTATCTTTTTWAAAAAAATTATAGCTCATAATAGAAAAAAAGAATGATTTTATAATTATTTTTTGAAATGCTAAGAAAAAATTGTGATGAAGATCTAGTAGCCAATATTTTTTATTTTACATAAAAATCAGGCAATGTAAAAATATTTAATCATAAGTCACAGATAAACCTGCCCACCAAACATCTTTTCATACTGAATCATATAAAAATTCAAAATCCTATAGTAGTTATATGGGTGTAAAATAATGATGAACTGAATCCATATTTAAGGTGATATTAATTTTTTAATTGAAAGCATTTAAAAATCTTATAAATGTCATATATTTTTTATTGTTCCCTAATTAAATTGTCAAGACCTATTTTCAATGGGCTTAGCAGGTATGTAATGCAATGCTTTATATAGTCTAGTGAAACATTGCATGGCACCTTTCATACTAAATTAGAAGTGATTCAAATAACCTAAGATGAATGAATAAATATAGTGTAGAATCTTTGGCCCTAGATTTAATTTCATAGGTACCTTGGGACAAATGTCTCAAAGTGATAATCTCTTGTATTGAGTATGGGTATTATAAAATACATCACAATTTAAAAACATTCTAGACATAAAGTTCCATGGAAATGTCAGTTTTTAATTTGATTCTCTTGTGGCTATCTTTCTTAGTCTCTCCTCTCCATCTCTCATTCTCTATCCATGTCTCTTCATCACTAGAGGTATGATTAAATATTCCTTTATTTAAAAAAATTGTATGGAACWACAAAAATGTGTTTTAATRACTTACATAAATATAATTTGTTATTTTTAAAATTTTAAAAGTATAYTTATGAAGTATGTTTGAAATATGTGCTTCAAAGTCTTCCGGAAAAGTTCTCTAAATAAAACTACTTTTTATGTGCCTCAATCTTTGCCTAATCATGGATAACTTGATACAAGAAAGATTTCATGTTTCTGGAATAAAGATCTTGAGAAAATGCATCATGGCCATTCATTGTTTTATTATTATTATTATTTAACAAGGGCATTTTTCTAAAAAACTAGATTTCTCATCATTGGTAGGGTGAACACAGCTAGAGTGAGCAAAATAAACATATACTTTTAAAATCATAAGCCCAGATTACTTTATTGTTTAATGCAAAATATACTTCATATCAAAGAATATTGAGGAGAAAGTGACATCCTCATGATATTTTGTAGATGAAAATAAAGAGGTTCAAACTGATTACTTCTCAAATGTAAGAAAGCAAATTAGAGGCAAGAAAGCAAGTTGACAAGAATCACTCTTTGAATGTAACTTCATTCAAAGTAAACACCCGGCAAGCAGGTATTAAAAGCCTGCCCTATATTATAACTTGAAAACTTGCCAAACACATTTGGGATAGTGTATAAGTGATGTAGGAAATACTGTGCCCAAGTCATTATCTGCTCAGACTCATACTCTGGGATCAAATAGATAATTGCATATTGGGAATCATTTTATTGAAGTGAAACATCAAGTTTGCCTAGAGTTAAAGGATGATTAAACAAAAATGCATAATAGAGGATCAATGTGACAAAAGAGATTGAGTTGGGCCATTATTTGTATTGTTGAGCAGCACACACCAGTGCTAGATTGTATAAATAACAGTAAATAGATATTTGTCAATTACATTTCCTCTTAATTACCTTCATTTTTTTGGAGAAATGTGATACATAGAATAAATTTTCAAATTTGGTTGTTATTGTATGAACAAAGTGGGAGATTAAAAAAAGGACAGGCTGACCATGTGTGGTGGTGTGCTATTACTACAGTCCTAGCTACTCCAGGAACTGAGAGGGTCACCTGGTCCCAGGAATTCAAGGGCAGCCTGGGCAACATTGTGAGATTCCCATCCACAACACAACACAACACAACACAAGCTATGAAACTCAATACCAAGTCTCTGAGTCAATACCAAGTCTCTGAGTCAAGATAAATGTAACTTCAGGTAAATCCAAAATATTTGTAGAAATAAAGAGCCTATATTTGTATTCAATCCCATGGCATTTTATAGGCACATATAAATTGGTTCTGAAGCAATGCAGAATGAACTCAAGCACCTCAAAATGTAGAATGRTCTCTGTACGTGGAAAAATAATTTTATAGCTCCCTAATAAGGAGATGTTTTAACTAAACATTCATTCCTGATGTCCATTACTTCTATTAGGAACTTCATTCCAAAACCAAGGCAAAATACTTTTATTGATTTCTAAGTAATAGATATTTTCCTATTTGTGTTTGTATTTGTGTGCATGTGTTTGAGGGGAGGTTGTAAGTACGAGCTAGTGAGAAGTAAGCAGATATGAAAATTTTCTACATGGTCTTCTGATATGTTAAAAATATCAAATCACCTTTGTTTGCTGTGATGATGAATTCCTCCAGAGTTACTTATACAATTCTTGCAGAATCATTTATCAATGCAAAAATAGCCATCTGCTAAGGCTGCCCACCTGTCTTAGAGAATCAGAGCTTGTTACTGGACTGTCTTMGAGAATGTTTCAATAAAAAGAGTTTGGCATACACCTCCTTAAAAGAGTCTTATTGACACAAATAAATCACCTTTGCAGGCTGTAAACAACACGTCAAAATGAAGCTCTATTTTTTACTTTCCTTGCCATCTTTTCCTTTGTGTTCCTTTTCTGTGTTRTCTGTTTCATATTTCTCTTTATCTGGCTTTGTTACACTATCATATGAAGGTGGGGAGACAGTGGATGGGGTTGCATCTGTTTTTTCTGGACTTGAGTTCTCATTAMCATTATCAAAAACTATATCTTCTTTATTGGGCAAATCATCATCTTTGTCTCCATCTTTTATATATATGCTTGATATATTTTTAACATTTTGCCGCAAGCGGTAACGTCTATAAGCACGCTGAATGATAGTAGCAGATACATCCTCTTGTTTTCGTTTTAGTGTAGTTGTGATGGGTTCATAGGATACTTTAGAAGGATTTGCAGACATGAACCTTTCTTCCATCTGTGAACGAAGAGAATCCATCTCTCCACTTTCACCTAAAACACGCTTTGTAAAAGCAAATAAAATGTCAAGACAGTGAATCCGGTCACCACTGACCATTGGCAGGTCCATAGCAATGAGCTGGACTTTGTTTGGTTTTGCTATGAGAAGAGGGGGATCCAGGGCAGCTGCAAAATCAGAGAGTTTGCTATATTCTATAAACTGGGTTGCATCGGGATCAAACTTCTCCCAAACCTCATAGAACATCTCAAAGTCATCCTCGCTCAGGGGCTCTGCACTTTCTTCAGTAGCAACACTGAAGTTCTCCAGGATGACAGCGATGTACATGTTCACCACGACCAGAAAGGATATGATGATGTAACTGACAAAATAGAAAATCCCAACAGAAGGGTTCCCACAGTCTCCTTCAACTGAACTTCCTGGATGAACTTTTTTTGGGTCACAGTCAGGTGGGCCATTATTGAGAATAGGTGCCAGCAATCCATCCCAGCCAGCAGAGGTGGTGATTTGGAAGAGGCAAATCATGCTGTTGCCAAAGGTCTCAAAGTTGAACATGTCATTAATTCCAGCTTCTTTCTTAACATAGGCAAAGTTAGACATTCCAAAGATGGCGTAGATGAACATGACCAGGAAGAGCAGGAGGCCAATGTTAAACAAGGCAGGAAGGGACATCATCAAAGCAAAGAGCAGTGTGCGGATCCCCTTAGCCCCTTTGATCAGACGTAGGATTCGGCCAATCCTGGCAAGACGGATCACTCGGAACAGGGTTGGGGACACAAAATATTTTTCTATCAGCTTAGCAAGAAACATACCTATTAGGGAGGAAAAAATGAAAAGAATATCTTTAAATATTCATACTAAACAGTATCATAATTCTAAATAGTTTTATGTATCATCTTTATCTCTTATGAATTCAGGACTGTTAAGTTTATATTGAACCAATCTCTCAAAAGTAGAGCAAAAGGGAAATGAGTAGAATTACTCTTATTTCACATTTTTCCTACTTTACTAAGTTCACAGACCCTTTTTTTTCCTTCACAATATTTTTAAATTATAAGAAAATAACTACTCATATAGAAAGATTCAAGAAATACACCAAAGTTTTAAAAGAAAATATGAATCACTTTAAATATTACCAGTTATAACTAATTAATATTTAATATTTTGTTGAGCAGTACTCCACTTTTGGATTCAAACACATGAACGTGCAAATAGACACACAAATATAATGATGTCCTTTGATTTTGTAGTTTCTCTTTGTGACATGTGGTGTAAATATTGCTATACAAATGACAATTTTTACAGTTGTAATGTTCTGTAAAAATAATCGCATATGGAAGAATAGCATTTATATTACTTTCAATTTTCTGACTGAAAAATTACCTAAATAGGCATTTTTCCTAGTTATATAAGTGTTTTAATAACACATAAATGGAAGTTGAGTTAACTGTATATTTAAAATTTTGTTTGAGATTGACAAACCTATCTCTATAAAGTCTATAATATGTCTAATAGCAGTATATGAAAGTGCTCATATTCCACGTTCACCAATACTGGGCAGTGCACTTTACCACTGAGCTACACCCCAGGCCTGTTTGTTGTTGTTGTTGTTTTCTATTTTGAGACAGGGTCATGCTAATTTGCTGAGGCTGGCTTCTTTGAACTTGCAATCCTCCTGCCTCAGTCTCCCAAGTTGCTGGGATTACAAGCCTGTGCCACTGTGTTTAGCTGCATTGCACTTCTTTACAATTTTTATCAGAACATCTTTTTTTCTTTCTTTTTTCCTATTATTATTACTATTTTATTTTTTATTGTTCTGTTTAGTTATACATGACAGTAGAATGTATTTTGACAAATTATACGTAAGAGAATATAACTTATTCTATTGGGATCCCACTCTTGTGGTTTTACATGATGAAGAGTTATCTTGGTCGTGTATTCAAATACAAGGCTGGGAAAGTTATGTCCGATTAATTCTACAGTCTTTCCTTTTCCCCTCCCTCCTTTTCCATGGTTTCCCTTTTGTCCAATCCAATGGATTTCTATTATTTCTCTTCCCAACCTCCCTTGTTTTGGGTTAGCATTTATAAATCAGAGAGAACATTCTGCCTTTTTTGTTGCTGTTGYTATTTTTTTACAAGAACATCTATATGCTACTTATAGTCTATTAAAATGACTTATTTATTTATTTTTTTAGAAAATAAGCTAWCATTTTTCTTATTGATTGGATATTTGTATCTTTGTTGGTTATTTTAAAATTTTGCCTGAGGAAGGTCCTTGCCTATTTGTCTATTAGAATGTTTACTATATTCTTATTGATCTACAAAAGTGATTTTTCTTTTGGAAGTTTGATTCATTTTGGACTTGAGTGTTGGACTTGAGTGTTGCATAAAATTCCCCATTTCTTATTTGTTTTTCAATCAATTTTATGTGTGATAAGTCTACTTGCACTGGACATTTTGATTATTATGGTCATATCCATTATTTTATTTTCATTATAGACTTAGGTTTGTGTCATAAATAGAAAAGACTATTAGAGTTCACGGTTAAATATCTATTCCCAGGGCTGGGGATGTAATTCAATGAGAGAGTTCTTGCCTAGCATGCTGAAGGAACTGGRTTCAACCCCCAGTACCACACATAMACACACAAAATCTTTTTCCACATATTTTTTACTTAACTCCATTTTTTTGAATGTCCTTTGATTCATTGTCATGCCTCTGCTTCCCAGTTGGTGTTTTATTGTTACCAACAGGATGTCCAAAACTATACATTACACAATTTAACTATCAGAAAGAAAAACACTATGAAAAAACTATGATGAACTTGGGAGGGAGATTCAGGATTCTATCTCATAATTCACTTATCCCTCTCTCTCTTTTTTCTTTTGTTGGTGCCTTATAGTTGTACATAATAGTTGGGTTCATTTTGACGTAATTATACAAGCATGGAATTTAATTTACTTCATTCCAGTTCCCAGTACCCTTACCCACTGTTTCCCTCCCCTCCTCTTTCACCCAGTCTCCTACTCTACCGGCCTACCTTCTACTCATTTATATATTTTTAATTGTTTTTTTATAAGAATACATAAAGGTTTTTTTATAAGAATACATAAAGTGTTCAGTGGTATATTTTACAGCACATAGCAAATTTATTCTGCATTTCCTCTCCTTTTTGTCCTTCCTTCTTTTCGTCCTTTTGTCCTTCCTCCCTCCATCTCCTTCTATTCTGTTGATCTTCCTTCTGTCTTTATGATATCCAACCCCTCTCTTTTTTACCCCCTTATTTTGCTCTAGCTACTGCATATGAGAGAAGACATTTGACCCTTGATTTTCTGTTGACTCCATTTTTAAAAATACTAACCTCTGATTCACATGATCATTGTACTTAGTAAATAAGTAGGTCTCTATGCTTTCAAGTTTATTTTGGATTATCTCTTTGAATCCATTGAACTTTTATTTTGAAACCCTATTATACTTATCATGAATATCACATAGTCATAATATCAAGCAATACGAAGCCACTCCTCATTACTCTAATTTTCTTTCCAGATTAATTTTAGAGTGATTTGGAGAGTGATAAAGATCATTGGCCCCTTGTTTTAACATGTGTACCTGTTTGTTTTCTTATCTGCTGGCATTAGCCAACACTGCTAAACATGGAGGTGATAGGAGGATGCTTTTTTGTCTTCTTGACTTGTTGGGAATTATTTCATTATTATTTTTCCTTAGTGTTAGTATAAAATTCCTAATTAAATTTTAATTTGTTTTCTTATATTTTAATTTTAATGTMATTTGTGGTGATAATATTTGTTAATAATTGATTTTAAATGCCTCTTCTAATTTTTGTAGCAGTCAGTTTTGTGGCTCTATGACATGAAACCTTTAACCTTTCTGGGTTTGTTTGATCATCTGTAAGTTTCATTTGTATCAAATGATCTACATAATCCCTACCATATAGTTTAGAATACTAAAAATAAATATAATTCTAAAATATTAGGTGTGTAAAGATAATGAGAAAAAAAGAGAAAGAAAAAGTCATGATAATGAAAAGGGAAGAAGTATAAAGTTATGTATGTATTGTGATTCATAGATATTACTGTGGTTGGTTGAGAAATGACTATATTTTATAGATGGGCCAAGTATTGAGCCCTAAGAAATGATGCTGACATTTCTTGAGACTTTAAATTCAGGGAGAACTTTCACAAAGAGTCATGGATATTCTGGCCATTCATATTACTAATCAMAAGATAGGTCTTATATGCCAAAACTGGCAGCAATTTCAAATTCTGCACTGGTTTCCAAGACATATCTACAAATAAGCATTTTAGCTAGCTTTGTTAAGGGTAAACATGGAAAGTAAATGTCAATGGGTATTATGTCTTCCCAACAGGTGAAACTTTGGACTTTCAAGCCTGTAGGTGTGAACCCAGGGTTCTGAAACAGGGTTTTGGGTTGGTTTCTAAGGTTCCTTCATTCTTTCATTGTACTAATTTACATCAAAGTAAATTTACATTCAAGAATTCAGACACTGCTCTGGGCACATATGGAATTTAGTTTATTCAAAACTAAAATTCAAGATGAATCAATGGCCTTACCTACAATGGAGAGGATCACAACCACAAAATCAAAAATGTTCCATCCTACAGTGAAGTAGTAATGTCTGAGGGAGATCAGCTTGAGCACACATTCTCCAGTAAAAAGGATAATAAAAACCACATTTATCCAATATAAAACATAAGTCATGTAGTCACTTTGTCCCTCTTTCTCTACCATCATGGTTACCATGTTGAGGCAGATCAGAACCATGATAGTAATATCAAAAACTTGGTTTGTTACGAGGTCAAATATACATCCTTGGAATTTGTTCTATAAGAAACAAGAATAATGTGGAAATTAGAGAAGTGTTCAGATGTCATCTATAAAGTTGAATATTCATTAGCAACTAAATGTAATTTTAAAATTCACATATATGCATATATGTTAATATAAAGCATTCTTTTACCCCTGGCCTAGGAATTGGCTTTTGTGGTTTTTTGGACCCCAGCTTTTTCATTGCATTATAGTATTTCTTCTGTTCTTCTGTCATAAAGATGTCTTGACCTCCAAGGTAAAGAAATAAAACACATCTAGTTAAAACCAGAATCACTGAATGACTTCTTTTTCTGATCCTAAAACAGGTTAAAAAATAAATTAATATAGAAACAAAATGCATTTTATTATGTCCATTGTAGCTATAAACAAAATCTTTCTTAAAGGATTACCTAAGTATAGTGACATGAATCTCCATACATAATGAAATGTGCATACATAAAATATATACATTACATATAATAATGATTGGCTTGATTATCTTTTTGTGTACTAACTTGTGTTATTTCAGACTATGTGCTGATATTTTCATCTACTTCTCTTATCGGCATTATATTGCTAAATAACAAATATGTTAGTGAGGGTTATAAGAACTAATAGTGGTAAATATCTTCTTTGATGATCTGGTTAGTGTTTTTGACTCTTATAAGAAGTATGAGCCCAAAATTATTAACAGCTCTCTCTATATTTGTATTTGTTTATATTATGTATTCATTTTTCTCTTTTAAGAGAGAAAAATGAATACATAATAAATAGTTAATTTATGTTTCTTTATCTGTRTCTGTATCCACATCTATATCTATGTCTGTATTTCAAGAAACTCCTTATGACATCCCAAAAAATGAATTGCCATATTCATGCTTTATTGGTTAATACCATTATGCACAATAAAATTCTTGGTATTAAGGAAAGTCACAATAATGAACTGGTAAGAACTGRAAGACTTTCTGATTGATTATAAGAAAGAAAATACAATCATTATGACTTTATAGTAAAAAGTTGACATTTAAATGAGGGTTTTTTTTCCCATACTGGAAAAGATGAAATCTCATGTAGGGGAGGTAAAAGCTTTGGTTATTCCTTTAGACTTTTGTTAATTTCTTGAGGTTTTCTGTGATTTTTACAGATATGTACATATTCCCCACTGGTCTATAGTATCACCTATTAAAGTCACATAAAAAATTATAATAATGCATTCTAATTTAGAATATTCTAATAGAATAATCCAGTTTTGAGAAATTGTAGTTCTCAAATTCTTCTTTAATTGGTAGGGTCCTAGGTTGAAGATGACCCAGTTATGGCCTCCCTTCAGTTCTCCTGGGTTAAGGAATGTTCAGCTTCCTGCTACACCACATTACTTATTCATCAAACACCTATGATAACCAGATTTAGAGAGTTCTTAGAGTGCTTTAATTTACTTTCCTCTAGTGGATATGCAGTGTTCATGTAATTTTAGCATTCATCTTATCTACCAATATTAGTCATGAGAGAGAGCCTTGTGCCAAAGTCAAGAGATGCCCCAGCGTTCCAAATTGTTTATTAGTGGGGCTGAATATCACGGCATGTTGAAAACTCATCAGGGGAGAGTGGGAACATATCAAGTAAGAACTCTGAATTAGAAGTGAAAATCACAGTAGCAGATTTTGTGTCTTCTTCTAATCATAGCCTGATTGTCAATACGATGAAGGGTGGGAGAAAACTAAGAGGAAATTTTGAAATGTTCCAGTAGAGAACCCAGTCTTGCTGTTTTGTTTCTTTTTTATTGTCAATTATATAGGTCTTGTGCAAAATGTATCCTTCGTGCAAAAAGCTAGGTGGCAGAGAGTCTCTAAGTCAGGCTAGTCTACTGGTGTRTGATACTCTGTAAGGTATTATTTGGTAATTAAAACTGCAGTTTTGATGTTTTACCAACTTTATTCAAAGCTTTTCTCTTATTCCTAGGCAGGTTTTAAATCTCTTTACATACAAATCACCTCCTCTTAATAGAATAGCTACATCATTCATTTATTAAGAGGATCAATTGTGAGAGTATATGCTGAACACTTAGCATAATACTGGTACTTGACAAGCAAAGTTTGACATCCCTAATGCCAAAATCCAACATCTTGAAATGCTCTAAAATCTGGAACTTTTCAAATACTGTCAAAATACCCTAAGTGGAAGATGCTGCACTTGACATCATATGATGGGTAGCAAAAAAAAAAAAAAAAAAAGGCAGATGCACTGAAAATATTGTATAAAATCACCTTCAGCCTAAGAGTATAAGGTGCATATGAAATGTATATGAATTCTGCATTCAGCCTTGTGTCCCATCTTCAGTATCCAGTGTCTCTCATCTTTCTCTCTCTCTCTCTTTCTCTCTCTCTCTTTCTCTCTCTCTCTCTCTCACACACACACACACACATTTGCAGATATTCCAAGATCTGAAAAACTTCTGAAATCCAAAACATTTTTTGTCTTAAGCATTTTAGAGAAAGGATACTCAACATGCTATAGAGTAGTTGCTATTATCCTATACAATAAGATTATAATTACTGAAGGGGGTTGTTGTTCCTTAGATTTACTCAAGTGCTCAGGTTTGTACTAGGCATGTCTGTAAATATATCACATAACTTTCCCAATTAATAACTTCCCATAGTTTTTCAGTTTATAATTTGAACCCAATAATAATTTATATTCTAATTTTCCATAAGACACTTATGATTAACTATTAAAATCCAATCGTCACATGAATTTATTAAAGATGAAGAGAGTACTAACATGGATGACAGCTGAAAAATCTAGTAAAGTGGGATTGGTTAGCAGAAAGAGATGTGGATAGATCCAGAAGGTGAGATCAAAGTACTAAGGCTAAACACATTCAGAGGCAACATTGCATTTCGGGGGGGAAAACATGGTCTTTAAAGTTCAACAGACTTATTCATATGCTTGTGAGTAGTCGATCACATGCACTAATGACATCTACCTCTTAGGTAGAAAGCCAGTATCTGAAATCATGCCCTCTCTTCATCCTCCAAAGATCTCTTTTCCTGGAGGAGGTRCCACAGGCAGAGTAAACAGTTACTTGACAAGAAACAATACTCAAACTCTATGCTCTTGCAAATCATCAGCAAACTATGGAATCCACCATCTAAAATATCTTGACTGAATATACGTCCTATTCTTTATTGCCACAAAGGACTATTTTGGATACTATACGGTATGGCCCACATGGTTGGTAAAATAGGGTCTGAAATTACCTCTGTCTCTCATCAACTATTCTGTGAATCACTGCTAGATTAATTTATTTGGTGGCGGGGGTGGGGGCGGTGTGCTGGGAATYGAACCCAGAGGCACTTTACCACTGAACTACATCCAGCCATTTTTCTATTTTATTTTAAGACAGGGTACCATTAAATTGCTTAGGGTCTCACTAAGTTGCTAAAACTGGCCTCAAACTTGAGATCCTCATGCCTCACCCTCCCACTGGGATTACAGACATGTGCCAATATGCCCAGCTAGATAAATTTTTATTGAAGTTAAGATTCATGGTCTTTGGAAAAAGGAGCTCTGGGGTTAGATTTATGATGAAACTATTTTATGGCTGATTATATACAAATAACATAACATCTCTGAGAGGTTAACTAGGGATACTAATGTCTTATAGATTACACATGTGAGATACTTTATGCAGGATAAAACTATAAGTCCTAATTATCAAGGTGTTGTTCAAAAGTTACTTGTTGTAATGATATATCAGCTCCTGCTGAAAATTATCTCACATGACTTCTCATATCTGCTTTTAAAAAGGCCCAAACCTCATTTTTTTGTTATTTCTTTCACAATTCTAATCTGCATACAGACTGTATGGGTTGTTATTATTCCCAAATGGCTGCCTCCTTAATCATCACTGGGCATAAGCTTCCACAGTTCTGATCCCTTCATATGGATCATCATCTTTTTACTTCCCAGTTGCTGCCTATCTTCTAATTTATGTTCTAGGGTCTGCTCAAGTGTCACATTGAATAGACCTTTTTATGGCTGTATCCACTTTTCGGCTGACTGCTCATGTACATTTTCATTGTTGTTAGTTTTTACTCATTATGATATTATATCATAATATTTGGGAATATAGTAAAATAGACCAAATGTTCAAGATTCAGGGGATGTACGAATGATTCTATTAAACTCCATTGCTTACTATATGTGTAATTTTTTTTTAATGTGCTRGGGATTAGACTCGGGGCGTTGTGCATACTGGGCAAATGCTGTGTTTCTGAGCTACACCTTTAGCTCTAGATGTATAATTTAAAGTAAATTATTTAACCTTTCTATGCCTTTCCTCATTTCTAAGATATTGTCTATAATAATATTACCATTAAACTTGACATTCTGCATTGGATCATGTGCCCCCCCCCCCGAAAATATGTTGAAATCCTAACCCCTAGTACCTCAGAAAGTTGGCCTCATTCAGAAATTGTGTGGTTGCAGTATAATTAAATTAAGGTGAAGTCATGGGGAAGTGGAGGGGTGCTTAATCCAATATTCAGTAGTTGCTCTAATAGGGACAACTGGTATTGTCCTTAATAGATGAAGAGGAAGACACAGAGATTAGTATGTAGATACAGACAGAGAGATTAGTGTTATGCTTCCAGGAACCCTGGAATGCCTGGGCTACTAGAAGTTGGCAGATGGAGAAAGGACCTTCCCTCAGAGGCTTTGGAAGGAGCATGACCCTGCCAAATCTGGTTCTGGACTTTTAGCCTCCAGCATGGTGAGAGAACAGGATGCTGTTATTCTAAGCCTGCGGTATTTTGTTATGGTAGCCCTAATGAAATAAGGCAGCCACAGTCAGTGTGAGAATTAATGAAATAAAAATATTCAGGAAAGTGCCTGGCTTATAGAACTCAACAAATCTTAGTTTTTATTTCTTATGCTCTAATATAAACTCAAGTTCAAAAGTCACATTTATATTCTTCCTACTAGAGGACCAACCTAATACATACCACACAGAATAGTGGCTCAGAAGAAAGTCAAATAACTATGAAATGTTGTTTGAATAAAGAATTAGTGACTGTTTCTAATCCTCTATAGGGAACGCTGGAAAAAAATGGAATAGTTGATATATTGCTTAAGAAATTTATGATTTAGGAAATTATTTTCTGCACAAAAATGAGTAAAATTGAACACATCTATAATTGTATCTATTGTCAATTATTCAAAAAATACATGAAGCACTAACAAAATTAATTACTAATTGATACCAAAGTAACTTTCACATTATATTTTTGGGGAAAATAATCATTCATTTCTTTTCAGGGAAATGATGAAAATACTTGAAATACTTATCTTCTTTTTCTGTTGGTTGAAATTATCTATGATGACACCAATGAACAAGTTCAAAGTGAAGAATGACCCAAAGATGATAAAGATGACAAAATACATATACATGTAAAGATTGTATTCATATTTCGGCTGCTTGTTTACCTATAAAGTAAATTTAAAAGTAAATTAAAAAGTTAGCAGTCACTGTTTTCATTTCTTTTTCATGTGGTTTGACAAGGCAATTCTCAGTGCTAGCCTAGGCAAACTTGGTATTTCAGAAACCATAGCATTATTGAGGCTTAACCTGGTCATTTTATTTTTTTTTTTTTGATACTGGATATTAAACCAAGGGATGCTTTACCACTGAGCTATATCTGAAATACATATCCAGCCCTTTTATTTATTTATTTATTTTTATTTTGAGATAAGGTCTCACTAAGTTGCTTAGGGCTTTGCTAAGTTAGCCAAGGCTAGCCTCTCAAACTTGCCATCCTCCTGCCTTGGCCTCCCAAGTGGCTAGAATTACAGGTGTGTGCCACCATGCCCAGCTTAACCTGGCATTCTTAAAAATGTAATCAGTATTGAAAAAAATTTAACAGATGCTTATTATGTACATAGATGTAATCTGCAAATGATTATAAAGAATCTACCCATATATAGTACTTGTTCTCAGATTGGTAGAAAAGTTAGTAACTAAATAATCTCTAGTATGTTTTTTATTTCCAGAAAAACCTGTAAAGGGGATGACACCATACTTAGATAAATTTTGTTTTATTGTTTCTTCATTTGTTTACAAAAATATCTTCAGAGGAATCTGTGACAATATGAACTAATTAGTAATCTTTAAATTTTCTTTCCATGGAATTTATTTTGTATAAAATCTACCAAAGTGTTTCAAAATATAAAAACTATTTAAAATTATTATTTCATTTTTATATCAAGAAACTAATATTTATTAAACATTTTATTGCCACTATTATGCTAAGAGCTCTATTTGCATTTTCTTGTTGAATCTGTAAAAGAACCCTTTGAGGTAAGTACTGAATTATGTTATTTTTACAGGAGAGTACACTAAGGCTCAGAAAGGTAAAGAATTATGTTCAATGACCATTGCAGAGCCTTAGAACCAGAATTTGAGTCAGGATCTGTCTCCAAATGCTGCACTCATAACCACTAGGTTAATTATCAGGTGGAAGTTCTTTGTTATATTTGCACATACACAGGGCCCCATGCAGCTATAGTTTGAGGACCACTGAAGTAAACTAAGGATATTTTTTAAATTGTAAAGTTTAGTGTTATGTTGATTAATACTTACATCAACAGAATCAACTGCTGCATACATGATGTCCATCCATCCCTTAAATGTGGCCTGTAAATAAAACATTAACAGAATCTGAATGTGAAGTTTATGCTCCCAAACTTCCATAAATATATAGTTTTGTCTATTTAATCTTACAACATATATTAAGTAATATTAAATTAGTAAGTTTTTCTGTATTTCCAAGCACCGACTTAATATAAAGATTCTGTTTTTAAAAGAGGACAGATTCCCAAATCACAATCTAAAGTTTAATTCTACTTCCAAATTGTTATAATTGCCTGTGAATTTGGGGTATAAACTTTCATTTTTTGATAAGTGAAAGGGAATTTTATGAGTACGTTTGGAAATATTTTTCTCCATTTCTTAAGGATAGTCTATACCACTAGAAAGTCCCTCTCATTTCCCCATAGGAAAAAAACTGGAAGTCCAAAAACTACTATTTTTGAAGCAATATTCAGATGGTGAAATAGCAGTCAACTCTCAGTTCATAATTCTCAAACACAAGAAACCTATGCTTCTTAACCATGTTTATAGGGTTCTAAGACAGATCAACTCTATTTTAAAAGCCACACAGCATTTTATTTTTAATTTCTAGTTAATAAATTATTTAAATAATGTCCCATGTCCTTCACCTAACAGTAAATTCTGAGTATTCATGCACGGGGTCACTTACAACTTGAAGCAGAGACAGGTAACCAAGCCCAACATTGTCAAAGTTCACTTTCAGGTTTTTCCATCTCACGTTTGTGCTCCCATTCATCAGGGCAAAACACTCAGAACGATTTTCAACTTGATTTTGAGGAAACCGTGTCCCATCTGTGGTGTTAACACACTCGTAGAACTTGCCAGCAAACAAGTTTACTCCCATGATGCTAAATATCAGCCAGAAGATTAGGCACACAAGAAGCACATTCATGATGGAAGGGATTGCTCCAATGAGTGCATTCACAACCACCTAGTGTTCAAGAAAAGAAAGAGTGGTTAGGGCTGGTGAAACAAAAAAGGTTAAATAGGCAACATGGAGACAGTATTAAAGACATCAGAAAACCACCTTTATTTGAGGCATCAAATCAAGCAACCGATGGGTATATATTAAATGCCTTCTATTTCAATAGAGTGCCAAGCAAGACAAGACCAGTTGAGAAATGAGTTCTGTGATTGGTGAGTTTATAAATTACACATTTAACACAATAAAAATATTAAAAAACACAAGACAGAGTGACTAAGAGGATATTATAGCTTAAATAAATGAAAAAATAATAAACCAAAAACCTGATATTGATAAGATGAAACCATAAAATCTGCACATTCTAGAAAAGAGAGAAACATAAAAAAATAAGTATTAAAAATGATATATACATTTGAAGTCTCATAATCCTAGAATTACCAGCATTAATTATTCCCCACACAGAAAAACTACTGATATACCTTAGTAGAGATAAAACTGGGAGTCTTTCAAAGGTTTGAACTCTGTAGATTTATGTTTCTATGAAATAAAAGTAATCTTCTTGAATTCATTAATCTATCTCTAAAAACACATTTTACTAAGTTCTTGGGCAAGTACAGATAGTGTTAGCTTCATTTAAAAAAGATACATAGTTTGTCTTAAATAATTCCTCTCTTTTCTTCTGCCACTCAGCATTTCTTCTGCTACTGATCACCAGTGATTTTGACATTTTTATTTTTCTCCAGAAAAACTTCTGTAGCATTTTTGAGTCTGTAGATTTTCTTATTTACCCCAATCCTTCAAAATTGTCTGTTTTCTTACACTACAGCCATAGTCCCATTTGAGAACAAGTGTGTAGAAGATAATAATGTGTCAGTACAATCACATTGTGGTCCTTCTTGTTTTCAATATATTAAGGAGGCTCTCAAGACATTTTCAAATGGGGACACATGGGGCTTTCTGACTACATATGAGATTATCTAGCACAGGGGTTGGCAAACATATTTTTCAACATTTTTAGGTATTGGGTTACATGAGCTCTATTGCACTCTGCCATTGCAACCACCAWCAGATACAAACAAATGGGCATGATTATGTTCTAATACAACTTACTTTGCAAAAACAGTCAATTAGCCACAGTCATAAGGGCTATGGTTTGTTAACCCAGTGACCAGAACAGTAGTTATTTTTGAGTCCGTGGACCTATAGAGGCTCCATGGGAATGTGAAGTGATACAAAAAGCATTTATGACTGTGCTTCTTTTTAGAAAGATGACATGTTTTCTTCAGTCAAGTTGAGTTCAAAATGGCTAACTTTCCATCAAGCCTACCCTTTTATCTCCATTTCCAGCTACCCATACCACTATGCTTACTGCCTAAGCACACTGATCCCTGTATTCATTGCCCCCAAAACACCTTGCATACTCAACTCTGTGCTTCTCAACCACTAATGCCCACCTGCCTGTGGCTTGGGGCTTATTCTTTCAGTTATGTTTCCAATGTTATCTCATTGTGAATTCTTAGTTTTTCTGGGCAGGCACTTCCTCCTCTGTAGGATTCCTGCACCATTGTATGCTCACTGTTTTACAGCAGATACCATAGAACACTATGTCTTATGACAATCTGCTCTACTAATCCTTGGGGGACTGGAATCTATTTTTCATTGCACTGGGTTCTTTTTTATAGCACAACAGCTGACACATAGTTGGTGTTAAAAAAGTGTAATAATGAAACAATGAGAGATATGTTCCTATCACTCTGATTAGAAGCCACTTGGGAAATAAATAGGCTTAAAAAGTCTTAGGACTCCAAGGAAACTAGCTTCAATATGCTTCAAATGTATTGTTTTGTTAACCATGTTAAAAATATTTCTTTTCACATAGTTAACAAACATAAATTGCTATTGTGCTCTTACAAATACACTAAAATGTTCTTTTCAATCCAATTCACCTAGATTTTAGATAAAAAAAAAAACAAGAGTAAACAGTGTAAATTTATAGACTGACTTAATCACCAAAGGCAGTGGTTTTGCAGGGACAAGAATATTCTGTTAATAAAAATGCCATATAACATTCCTCAAATCCAAGGATCACTCCTAAGTCCTAGATGGAGTGTGACATTCTACTAATGCTCAAAAAATGAATGTCAAGAATTTCTTTCTGCATAAAATGAAATGTAACTCTTTGATTTTTATATGATAAAGAGCATTTCAATTTTTCTTATGATTTTTTTTATATAGTCATCATCTCTTTTCTATACATGAAAGTCATATTAACTGGATATATTAAGTAGTAGAGGTTACCATAAGACTTAGGTTGACAGGGCTATCAGTGAGAACTGCTAGGCTGAAGGATCAGTAATATTCACATGAGGCTGGTTAAAGCTCAGATTTCTGAGTTCAGTTTCTGATTTAGTAGGGTCTGGGCTGGGGTCCAGGGATTTTCATTTCTAATAAATTGCCAGATGATGCTGATAGCTGATCAGTGACCACAGTTAGAGAATCAGTGAGCTAGACTTTTCTCTGCATGAAATTGGTCTGAGACTATAGGTAGAAAGGCAGTCAGGGAAACAAGGAACATTCAATATAATGGGAGTTTTGGGTGTAATCATACAGGAAGGATATGCACTTATTCTTGATGGTGAATAGACAAGGCAAATTCATACTAAGGTTCAAGGTAGGTATGTGTTTGCTGCATCAAGTGGTGAGTTGGGATTGAGGAAGCAAGGTGGAACATTCCAGGCTGAGAGAACAAGAGGTATGAGAAAATAGTTGCAAATCAGAGCAAAAAATTCCAGAAGCATAGCAATAAATGAGGATATGAACTAATTATAGAAAATTCAGTCACTGCCCTCTGTGTGTGTCATTAACTTGTTGATTCAAAGCAACCTTAAAAGTGGGTTGGTCATAGGTGTTATCTATTTTATCTTGTTTGTCCCTGCTAAACAAATTTTGTTTTAGGTCCTGTGAAGCCTAGTGTAAATAAAGTAATTTTTCAGAGCTTTAGTTTTCTTTAAATGTAATTTTGACATAATTCCACTAACTATGAACCATTATTTTAAATATGAAATTGAAGGTGACAGCCAATGTTACTTCACTTCCTTGTCTTTTCTTATGCTTGCCACACGGGGTAGTTCCAAATAAACTTTATTTGAGCATTTGATACAGGAAAGTCCCCAAATTGTATATGAGAGTTGGTGTCAGGTCTTTTCACTTGACTTTTAGAAAACAGATTTCCATTTACAAAGGGAAGAGTCACTTATCTTCATCATCCAATAGCCTAAAAATAATATGTCTAGGAAGAATTAATATCTCGATTCATTCTTCTGTTTTAAAAAAGTGCTAAAATACTGTATATATGTGTATATCACACTTACTATAAACAGCCCATATCTATATATGTATATGCATGTAAATGAACAGCCCAAAGTTACTACATACCCATTCATTTTTACACTATAAGTATCCCATTTAAAAATAAGAACTTTATATTAATAAATTTACTATTTTCTTACCCTCATTCCTTCAAACCTAGATAAGGCTCTTAGAGGTCTTAAAGCTCTCAGCGTCCGAAGAGATTTAATGGGGCCAAGGTCTGAGTAGCCAAGAGTGTTTGCAACTAAAGTAACCAAAGAAACCTATAAAAATAACATTTTTTATTAATTATTTCAATGAAATTGATAAAGGATCAAGAAGAAAAGTTAATTTCAATGCTCAGAGAAGCTCAAMAAGAACAGTATAATTTTCTACACAATTATCTCATTGTCCAAAATTAGATTTCAAGGAAAGTTAACCAATAATAATAATAATGGAATGAAAGATGTTTACTATATCTAAACAGAAATAATAATTTTCATACTTTGTTAATTGATGTTTATGCACTTGATTATTTAAAGTGAAAATTTTATTAGAACAACTATAAAAGTTTCAATTGAAATAACATCTACTGCCTAACAAAGTTTGTTTATTCTGTAACTGACACAAAAGTGTCACATTAAAATAAATCTAAGCCTGAATATAAAACTTACTCAAAAACAATCTGAAGACTCATGATTTTGAGAAGAGGCAAATTTCCTGACAGAATATTTCTATCCTTCAGTTTCTCAGGATTGGCACTAAAGATCTACCTTGTAATAATTTATGGAAGAAATTCTCAATTATATTGAACAGAGAATGAGAGTAGGTGGTCTCATTGGCTTCAGCATAAACTTAAATATGTAAAAATTTTATTGTGTTAGGTAGACCAATCACAATGACCATCCATGCCAGTATCTAACAGGAATCTAAGCTCTAACCATAAATTATTTCAGAAGAAAGAACATGATCAGAAATCAAAATATATTTTAGTAACAAAAAAAAAAGATTTCCTCAATGGCTTTGGATTTGGATCTGTAAATGTTTTAGTCTCTGGATAAATTCCACTTAAATATTTATTTATTTTGCACTGGGTAGCCACAGATAATGCTGAAGAACAATGTCTTAAATATTTTCACTATGAACTGAGGTAACGACTAGATTTGGGTTTGTCAGGGAAGAAGAGGAACACTTCAAAGACAATTTCCTTATATTTAATTATTTAAGGAGTTGAAAAAAAAAAATCCATGGCTCCCAAGTCACTGTTGCTGTTACTCAAAGACAAGTCAGCTGTTTTACAAAACAGAAGATTTGAAAGTGCTGGACCTTATGTAGTTACTTCAGAATATTGAACTAAATGTGATATTGCATTTTCTTTTAAATTTCTTATAACTGATAGAACTAATTGCTTCCATTACAATTAAATTGCTTCTCTTATCACTGTTAAATTCAGTCATTTGAGATCATTATTTTCCATTTAAAGTACACTTAAAAACTAAATATACTCCCATTTTAATCAGAAAAAAACCCAAAAGTTTTAAAACACTGATTACAATTTGAATAGCCTCTGGAAGTAGTAGACCAGTACTCTAAACCACTGTTGAACCAGTTTTATGATATTGAATATATGAACATTGTTGAAAAAACTACATTGTACTCTGTGTCTGAGAATATTTATATGCTTTTCTATATATGCATCTATCCAGCTAGCAAATTATGCATACCTTTGTACATACACAAATATGTGCTCATGTTAATTTATAATGCTCAATCAAGTAAATTTCAAATAATCAAAAACTTGTAGAAACCAGAAGAGTCCATCCTCTGAACAGCAAATCAAATCAGTGATTGTGAAACCTGAATATGCATTAGATTAATCTGTAATCTACAACAGTTTGCTGGTTCCCAGTCCCAGATATTGTGATTCAGTAGATTTTGGAGGGGTTCTGAGAATTTACCCCCTAATGAATTCCTACATACATGTGCCTATGTTTTTGGTTCAGATATCCTCCTCTGAGAATGACTGTTGACAATAAGCTTCTCAATTTTTGAGAAATAAAAATATTCAGGCTGGGTTCAGGGGTGTGTGCCCAGCTACTTGGGAGCAAAAGACAAGATAATCACAAGTTTGAGATCAGCCAGAGCAACCTAAGCAACATATTAAGACCCTGTCTTTAAAAAAAAAATCAATCATTTCCAAAATCTATATTCCTAGATTTCTATCTCTATCAGCCAGAATACTCTGTGGAACTTACTCTCAAAGTTGTGTATTATTAAATATTGTATACATGTATATTTCTGTTTTCAAAAAACAAAATTTCAAATTGAAGTCATATGCTTTCCTGAGTTCTATACATTAAGTATTCCTAAACATTTTATTACACACATTGAGATTCTAAGTTCAGATTTTCAAGTATAAAACAAAATAATTTGTTATAAACAGTCATTTCTTAATTGAAAAGAAATTAATCTGTATTTGTAAATGTTTTTGTCATAAATTGAGTGAAAAATGTGTATACTTGTGATAATATTTTCAAAGTTTTAAGGTATTTTAAATATTTTTATAACTTAAAAAACCCAATTGTTTTCCCATTCCCCTCACAACCTCTTATATGAAATTTTGTATAACAATGAGGGTCTCCCTCCAATTCCATGCAATTTTCCTTTTAAACAAGGAGAGAAATGAATTACAGTAGATGGGGTAGAGAGAGAAGATGGGAGGGGAGGGGAGGGGGGATAGTAGAGGATAGGAAAGGTAGCAGAATATTCACAACAGTTACTAATAGGGCATTATGTAAAAATGTGGATGTGTAACCGATGTGATTCTGCAATCTGTATTTGGGGTAAAAATGGGAGTTCATAACCCACTTGAATCTAATGTATGAAATATGATATGTCAAGAGCTTTGTAATGTTTTGAACAACCAATAAAAAATATAAAATAAATAAAAATTTAAAAAACCCAATTGTATTAAAAGTTTAAGAGAAAAAATAACCTATATTCCTTTTCTTGTTTTTTTTTTTTTCTTTATTATTTTGGTTAGTTTTCCTTTAAAACTATTCTATTACAAAAGGGATTCATCTTATGACTTTTCTTTCTCTGGGTGGTAACTAAATAATTTTATTTATTAAAGGTGAATAAAAACAGTATAAAGTCATTAACGTAAAGTAACAAAAATTCTGTGAGAATTCTACATTTGGTATAATGAAAATGCTGTACACTGAAAAAATTGTGAATAATTCATATTAAAAAGTGATATTGTATTTAATATTTTATGCTATTGAAAAAAAAAAAAAGAGCGGCTGAGTGTGGTGGTGTACACCTGTAATCCCAGAGACTCAAGGGGATGAGGCAGGAGGATTGCAAATTCAAGGCCACCTCAGCAACTTAGTGGACTCGTAAGTAACTTAGTAAGATGCTGTTTCAAACTAAAAAATAATAAAAATGATCAGAGACTTAGCTAAGTGGTAAAGAGCCCTGGATTCAACCCCAGTATTAAAAAAAAGTACTGAGATTCACATAATAGTTGATAAACTGAACTCTTGAGTAAATATGACTAGTTTTGGTTTGATTTTGTGGGAAGAATTTGCTGTTTATGGTTATATTTATAATTATCTATGAATGATACTATATTTTGAAAACAGTGATGGTGTACACCCTTGAATGTTAAAGCATTTATTGGTAGTATAAAATTTCAAGTGGCACTCTAATTTTTCCAGGCATCATATAGAAAATAACTCTCTAAAAACTGCATTTTAAAAAAAAATATTCAACTGAGTATTGAATATTTCTTTCCTAACCACAAAGACTAGATATCTGAAAATCTATGCAAAAGATTGAAGAACATACCCTGAAAATAATAAAGGAGGGTGAACAAGGTCATACCTTTTCCAATAATATAAAATATATCAATATATATTAACTTAGATCATTAACGTATAAAATAAATTACACCAAATACAAATGAATGATTAACAATGGGTGGTATGCCATTAGTATCTATTTTAGATTCCTTCATCACATAAACTAGTTTAAATTTCTTTCCCAATTATCTCAAAGAGAAGCCTGTAAAAATAGTTTCATATTTTTAAAAATAATAATACATATAGTATGCTTATGTATTTTCTGTCACTCAAGTACTCAGCAGTGTTTTGAATTTATCATTTGAAATTATTAATGGCTACTTTGCTTTACTGCCATTCTGGAGGTAAAGGGCAGTTGTTTGTTTGAGACAGGAACAAAAATCGAGACTTCTTTCAGTTTTCTCTGTCCTTATAACAAAGCATTTTGAAATTCCTTTCTTTTCCTTCCCCCAATATTAAGCCAGTGGGCCATAGCAGCCATTTTTTTTTAACATAAATTTCAGCTCATTGATCAGACAACTTGATACATTCTTTATCCTTTTGCGTCTTTTAATTCTATATTGTGACAGATTAGTATTTTTTTGTCTTTAATTTGTGATAAATCTGTGATATTTAACCACCCTCTAGTTTTTCATTTTGTTCTTAATCTTAACAGGAATGATATTCAGATCATATATTTAAAGAATTACATTTCCTCTGATTACAGAAAACACATACAAAAGTCCACTATAAATGCTAGAATGGTACAGAAGAGAATCTCCCGTCATTGGAGGGTTTTCCTCATGAATATATTTCTTCTAGTTGTACTAACACTTCTAAAAACATATACCTATGGCCTGAAAATACATGAAGCTAACAAAATTAAAATATGATAATAGGTAATATCCATGAAGATTTTTTTCAGAACACATTTTAAGAATAAATTTAATATTGCCTTTTAAAATTGACTCCAAGGGACCTACATCAACAATTAAGAAATCCAGCCAACACCAGGCATTGGTGAAATATGTCTTATAACCATATGCCACCCATTTTAGAAGCATTTCCAGAATGAAGATGTAGGTGAATATCTTGTCAGCATACTCCAGAATAATCTTAATGGTCTTTTTCTTTTCAATATATATATCTTCAAAAGCCTGTGGAAATAATATTTGAATTTCAATTCATGCATAATTTAAAACTTAGAGAAACAGGAAATGCAATTCTGATGGGGACCACTGAAATGTAATACTGCTGTGAGCCATCTGTCCCTGCTCTAGGTTATGGATACCCAATGGCACTTTGTTCTGGTCTTCTTACCAGTTGTTTCAAGCAGCAAAGAGAACAGTGCAAAATAATGAAATTACTAATAATTTATTTCAGAGAAAAAACATGATATCTGACCCCTGTAGGGATTTCTCCCTTCATCTAACACTTCTCCTCATTCAAATTGAATGAATCCTGATAATCTAAGGACATATCTCAGGTGAGCCTGTCTTATAAATCTTTTACATCTTAYTCTCCACTTTACACCCTGATGTAGGATTTGAAACCTCTATTTTGGCTCTGACAAGCTTGTGCATTCCAGTGCTACCACTATGTCGAGAAAATAGTAGGTGAGAGGGAAAATTGGCCAAATTCATGATTGCAATAGCTTACTAGGGCTACAGAACACAGTCATTTTACAGAACATGATTTTTTCCCTCTGACTCCTGCATCCATACTTCATCATCTCTCATAAGCTTTGACTCTACAAATCACCATTCAATTCATTGCACGAATGTGACAGACAATGACCTGTAGCCATAAGTCTTTTGGGAAAAAAATTGAATGGACTTAAAGAATTGAGCTCACTGAGACATTGAAAATGATTGCTGATCTAAATAGTTCTAAATTCTTAGGATTTTACCTTCAGGGTAAAACACTGTTCACCTTGTTGGAAGAAAGAAAGCCAAAGGACCTATATCCTTGTTGGTTAATACTGTATTACCTGTCCATGGTTATGGGCATGTATCATTCTCATTCTTTTGTTTCCAAGTTCTGTTCTCAATACTTTAAAAACTATGCCTAGTACTTTTTGGAAACTTTTAATATCAGTACTGAAGAAAATGAAGAAGTTGGGTGGAGATAATTGACAGATAACTAAGATGCACAAAGAAGGTGCCAACAATAGGCCAAAGTTGGGGTCAGTGGAATGAGAGTGTAGCAGAAGGATTCTAGCTCCTAGGACCTACCTGCTCCCTTTTCCCAAGTTCTGGAGAAATCAGGCAAGCCATTTGAGCAGCAATGATGGCAATGACTGCCCTTAAAGCATGAAGTCAAGTAGGATTGGGTCTCAAGGAAGAAGGTTCCTATTCCTGCAACTAAGGTTCAGGTTCACAGCAGGACCAGCAGTGACTCTCTGTGAGGAGAAGCAGATGCCCTGATGCACTATTGCTTACTGACTGGTCCCAGGGCAGRATGCAGGGCTTCACTGCAGGGGTCTTGGCTTCTAGGACCCATTTTGTGGATGTGGGAGCAGGAGGCAAGGATGCCACAATGTGGGCTCTGCCACAGTAGGGGTTTAGGTTTTACTGGTAGTCGTTTCAGTTATAACTCATTTGTTTCTTCTTGATGTATTCTCATTTTGAATGAAAATAAGTTGAGATTAAAGCTGAACTTCAATTAAGTGACAGCTCTGTGGTTTACTAGTTTTGGGACATTAAGGAACATTTTAAATTTTGCATTCAGCTTCTTCTTCATTGGTAGAAGAAAAACACCATAATTTTACAGGATCATTTGTTAAGTAAATGAGAAAATTTATATAAACATTTTGAAATACAATAAATATATCCTAAATGATAACTTAAAGTTCTTATGTTTTTATTCATTTTGTAGACAGTTATTTAAAAAAATCTAGCCTAATTAGCAAACTGTCCCAGTGAAAACATTAACTTCTTGAAATACTTTTTTCCTTCATATAACTCATTTGGATTCCATTTTTGAGAACACCTTCCCCCAAAATGTCATCTCCTTTTTAAATATTTCAAAGAAGAAATTACTCTAAACTTTTGCGTTTTAAATCTCCTCTCTGTAAGTCTTGGTCATGTATATGACTCAGCATAGAAGGAACTTCAGTTACTAGGAATACAAGATGTTACAGAAATATTAAGATTCCTGCTTACACAATACCAGATAAGTAAGCGTGTTTTTCTTATTCTCTGCCTTTGAGAAGTGAGGCTTGTTTGGAGAGGCAATTTACTGAGGACCCGTGATGGTACCTGGGTGCTTTCAATGGGAATGCCAAGAATACAAGGCCCTGACTGCTCTCAGCCAGGCCCTTTCTCGGCGCTGGGTTTGAGGCAAACAACCTTGAGGGAAGTGAGTAGGACAAAGAGCAGCATAAACTGGTATAAAAGGATTGTTTCCTTAAGCTCTGAGTTCTTCACCTATGATGTTTACCCTCTARTGTACAGCCTTCACCCAGCCCCATACTGTGCTGCTACAGGATCTGGGACAGGACAACCAACACTAATGCATTCAAGCATATGCTACCTTGGTGCCAGGAGTAARGAAGACCTTTATCTCTAACCTGGCATCTCATCTCTGCCAGCATTTATGAAAGAACAGGTTAATGTATTAGCCTGTGAGTGTTGTAAAATCAAATTCCAGATCTATGAAGACTGTCTATGAGGCATTGTGTAAAGTMCTTAAGTATTCTGCTTTCAGTATAATGGAATTTCCAGGAGCATATCTAGCTGAATGTGGGCTAATGGGTTTCTAATGGCTCCTCTTTGTCAGGGTCATAGGAAAGAATTGCAATTTTAAAAAGTCTCAGAAAGATTATAGTTCTCCTAGATCCCTTTTACAAGGCATGTATATATGAACAAGGATAAGAAACATCTTCGATTCTTGCCCTAAAACATTCATTTACTTTCCTCTATAAAAACTGCTTCAGGAGCTGACAGTGCCTATATTTCCCCAGTTTCTCTGGTCACCTGTACTTGATCTTCCTCCCATGGCATTCTCTATAGCTCAGAAACTTTTAATTTCTTGAATATCTTATGTTGTTTTATGCTTTCTTACCATTATACGCTTGCTCCCTTCAACCCACCTTGACAGGCTGAAAACGTTTATTCTTTCTAGACCTTGCAAAGCTTTGCTGTGTACCATTCTGAAATAACAAATGACCAATTGTTTTTTGTTGCTTTATGAATAATATTTACTTATAAATTCATCTCAGGTCTGTGAGCACCATGTATCTCTCTTCCCCATTACTATTAGCTCCTGGAGAATATTACCCAAATCAGATCTATCTTTACATTCAACATAGCAAGAATAGTGCCTGACATGTTGGAAAACTCAGTAAATATTCATTGAGTTCAGCTGAAATTTTGTCCTTGGCAATCTGTAGGGTTTTTTTTTTTTTTTTTTTTTTTTTTTGCCCTTAGGTAAAACAACCTGCCATGATATTTTTATCTTCTAACTCATTTATTAAAAATACTGACAATCAATTTATTGACTAGGTATCAGATGTCTTACCAGAGCTCCACTGCTGAGGAGGATCATGAGAACAATGAAGCTTTCAAACCAACTGTGTTCAACTATCCGATAGCAGGTTTTCCTGATATTCCACCAGATTTTTCCTTTCCCTGACTCTATGTTAACTTGGCAGCATGGGAATCTCCGAACACAACCTGGAAAGAAAGACATGCATGCAACATCTTGATATTCAAAACAAGTAAAAAGCTTACACTGTAATATTTCATGAAAAGATTTTTCTGTGATAYTTCTTCAACCAAATCATTTCTAACACTTAGGCCTGCCATTTCAAATTCCATTTGRATGTCACCTCTCTCATCTTCTTATTTCCATGGTGTTATCTGAATGTTTGTTAGTTATTTTTTATGTTATTGCTCTCTGTAATTCACTAATTTCTCCTAAATCTCCTCCACACTGTTTAAATCACTTTTATTTAATGAGTTGAATGGATGAAATAAACTCTGAGGGGATGTATTTCAGGGTCTTCTTGCTAACAGATTTTCCTAGGTGTAGATCTATTCTATAATTTGAGATGCTTCCACTCTTCTATTAAAAACATTTTCAGAAATGCCATCCTAAAGAGTATTATAGAAATTAATGGTAAATCCTAAAATTAAGTTCAAAAGAAATACATCTTCATTGAAAGATGCAAATGAAACTATTTGAAGTATTCTAAATTAAAAACAAATCTGACTTGGGACTTCTAGGTATGAAATATATTGCTATATATTGCTCTGAAAAAGTGAGTAGAAACATTTGAGATGAAATGTTCTTCTTTTTTTTTTTTTTTTTTTTGAGACAGGATCTTACTAAGTTGCTTAGGGACTCACTAAGTTGCTAAGGCTGCACTCAAAATTGCCATCCTCTTGCCTCGGCCTCCAAGTTGCTGGGATTATAGGTGTGAACCACTATGCTGGGCTGAGATGGAATAGTCTTAATAGAAATTTAATGCTTGAGACTTCACAATTTATGTTCAACCTGAAAACAAAGATTACATGCTGAACACTCTACTTGCTTCAAGTAAAGATTATTGGAGAATAAARTTTCCATTTGTTTAAAAACATTTTATAGTATGGAGTTTTTGTCAGCTTTAAAATTGAAGAGAAACASTTTTACAAGGAAAGAAAAAAACACTATTATCTTAATTAGAAAAGTGGGTACATTTTTATCTGAGATAAARGTTCAGAAATATTGCCCACAGGGTTTAGCACTCGTCAGAAATTTTCCCTTTTATTTTGAGGCAAGAGTGCTCAACAGCCTGTCTGGCTTTTATGCAAGAGATTTCTAACTAAGCTGGTTAGTAACKTTATCACACACTTCTCTTGAAAGGACTATTAATTAAATGTAAACATAACAGAGAACGTCTCAAACATTTAATGAGTCCCCATGGGTAAATGCTATGTTTTTGGGGTGGTTTCATTAATTTGCTCTCATGATACATTACATAAAGTCTAACCTGGGTTTCATCATGTTAAACCCATAATMTCCAATAAAAAAGAGCTTATTGGTTTCTTCAAAGACAAACTGCTCATTAATAAAAATAAAATAGCATAATCAGTAAAATTTATGTAAGAAGTTACTAGGAAAATACCCTTTTCTCCATTGTTTCATTAAAATACCTAAATCCTCTACAATAAATGTTTTATTCACATTTTCCTTTCTAAAGAAAGAAAATTGGAAAGGAGCTGGTTATTCTATTATTCAAGTCAGCATTGGTAATTAGTTATTTTATAAGTTGATGAACTCAGAACATTTTGGGGAGATGAGCTGTTTCCACCTACCAAATTAACAGAAAATACATCATTTTAAGGAAAGAAGGTTATTCTCTTTARCTCAAATTCTGACTATACAATTAATGAACTGTATAATCCCAAAGGAGTGAAATATAAAATCAAGGAGAATCAAGGTGACATGTCAAATTCAAAATTTTACAGGCTGCCAAGACATGCAGAATGAAGAATAGTAAAGAACAACACAGGCCCTAGGGAAGTAGTCTGAAGTCTAGAATCACAAAGCCATTGGACAGAGCTAAGGACAGACATGGCATGAGAGGAAAGAAGAAAGGGGAACTAAGGGACAAGACAAAGGACAAAGTCAATAGAACACATTAGTAAGGTGACAGCTATGAAGCTGAGAAGGATCAATGAATGTGAGTCAGAGAATGACGAAATCATTTTAACAATCATCGGCAGTGGAAGCACAGTCACTCATTTATCCATCTTTCTTACTTCCTTTCATTTTTCTCCTGCTTTTCTGGTAACAAAAATCTCTGGAGGCCAAATGCTGCTATGTACTGGCACTAGTTAGATGTCAGCTCTCGTGGTAGACCAGTCATGAATCRTAAGAGTAATTTCCAATGTAAGTAAACAAGTTGACAATTTCTAATCCTGTAAAATCTAATGTTGTCAATGTGGAGACAATATATTGTCTATTATTATCCTAATTAGAAAAGTGGGCACATTTTTTTTTTATCTGAGATGAAGGTTCATAAATATTGCCCTCAGGGTTTAGCTTACTAACCCTGAGACCCCCAAATATGAATTCATCTTTGACTCCTTTCTTTCTTTTGCTTTCTATATCCAGTACWKCAGCAAATCCAKYRCYAACTTCAWAATACACTTAGAATCTCACCCTGTCACCAATCCCACCATTCTTGACATAAACTAAGCTTCTATCATCTCTCACCTGGATGATTACTGCAGAGACCTCCAAGAAATCTCCCATCTTTTTCCATTGCTATCTATCCATCCACTCTTAAGATGGCATATCATGAGATTTTTCAACCAGATTCTTACAATATTCTTCAAAGCTCTTATGATCTGGCCTCTACTACATCTCTTATCTCAAATTTTACCACCCTTCACATCTCTCAATCTGTTTTATTCCTACTGGCCTCTTGGTTTTCATCGTGTTATGCATATTCCTGTCTTAGGGCAGTGCCTTTGTTATTCTGCCTACAATAAACTTCCTTCATATATTCACATGGCCCAACTTTACTTTTCCTGAGGTCTCTGATAAAATGTCACCTTAATAAAAAGGCCTTCTCAAGCCATTATGTTGAATGCTAGTAAGTTCTAATCCCTTACCTTTAGTATCTATCCTTTCCTTTTATCATCTTTATATTTTCACATTATTTGGGCAAGGGAACTTGTTTTTATCCAYAACTCTATATTCCTCTGGTGCTGGGAACTGGACACAGCATATAGAGGGTGTCTAATAATTGTTTTTTGGAAGAAGGAATGAGTAAATGAATAAGAGGTTGAAAGGTTGAGCAAACTGGCTGCTATTCTAAATTTATCAGGCTGAGTCTCTTAACCAAAGAGGTCTGGTGACTGTATAAAGCCTCCYCAGTGGAGCGTTATCAAAAYGATGTGACTAAGAGTTGGGTTMCSGCAATCAGTTCTCAATGACCCAGGCCAAGGTTCATTTGAAAATGTGTCATCATGACATTTCTTCTACACCAGCCTCAGCGTCAATTTAAAACTATAAATGATCTCAACATAACTAAATATATATATATATTTAGTTATGTTGAATATATTCATTATTGTTTCTCAGGATTGAATAACAACCTTTGTAAAGTTCTTAAGAAAGAGTATAGTGTTAACACTTTCTGTGGAGGTTAAAAATTTTCTAGAGCCCTTTTCTGGTTTGAAGGCTTTATTTGTTTTATAAACCCAACCTCTTTATAAAGAAAAATCTTCACAATGGTYATCATAAAATGGATAAGGGAAATCTTGGTACATCTACACAGATTTAACTATACAMGGTTGCTGCTAATTATTGAGAAACAACCAGACATGTGGATAAAATTCACAAGTGCTCTTAACATGCACAATTACAAGGGAAATTCTGTGGGCTCTGCTTACAGCARTGATTTCAGCAAACACAAAACTTATAACAACTGGGTGTGATGTTCTTTTGCTTCTCACATAAAATGATATTTGGCATGTATTTAAATAAAATCCATGTACTTATTGCAGTTTGTAGATATTTTTATTTTTYAGTCACTTTGCTTAATGCATCAGTGTTTTAGGAGACCTCTTAAGAAAGTCTCAGAGACTGAAAGCAAATCAATGAGTTCTACAAAAATAGTGATGTTGAAAGTAAGCCCATGAGTAAATATCAAGTCATTAGCATCAATGCTAGTACAACTTCTACATTGGACTGTCAAAATACTTGAAAACCAATAAGGAGAGCAGAGTGAAAAGGAAGATARGCATTATGCCAATTAATTAATAATAATTATTTCATTTGATCTGTCCCATTCTCTATGATACAAATGTTGTTGTTAYATCCATTTTACAGATGARGTACAAGATTTAAAAAAATGGGCTCATGGCCTCAGAGATGGTTACTAGTAGGCCAATTGAAAATCATGTTTACTAGGCTCAGATCTCCTRGAAGCCTACTCTAGGTTTGTGTTTTTTATTTAGATGATATAATGCTTGTTCAGATAATATGRAACACTTTCCTAGATTGAGGTCAAAGTTACCTCTTTGAATAAAACCCCTGGCAAATTTCAAGGGCAGTGAGAAATTGAGTATGGCAGAGAATGAAAAGGAGGGAATAATATTAGAAAAAAAAAAGACTGAGGCCAAATATAAAAGGCTTCACATRTCAGATTATAGACTTCTGATTTTATCCTATAAAACAAGGGTTCCCAAATTTAACCATGAATYAGAATCCTCTGGAGAATGTGGGCCCTATCCCCAGTGTGTCTAATRAGCTTGTGATTAGAAAAGAAGAGGATGAGGCTTTCTCAGCTTTTAGCCTTAGAGGCAGGGTAGATCATGATGTTACCAAATAAGGTAAAGAATAGAAGACGCTATAGATTATGTGAAGGAGACCACACTAAATTTGTTTTATATTTATTAACCTTTAAATGTTTTAAGGCAATAGGTGAAGATGACCAAACAACTGTTGTAATCAGATCTAGAACTCAAGAGGGKGTCTGGGGTAAGAGTCAACAGCACAGAAATGGTTGTTCAAGCCATCTCGTAGACTTTAGGAATAAGAAGACACCAAGGGCCAAAAGTGGGGGGATACATTATTAATTTCAAGAGGTGCAGAAAAAYAGTCAATAAAAGAAATAGAAGGACTCAGAACTTTTATAAAAGAATGCTATTGGACTGTGACCTCTGAAACCAAGTGGAGGAAGAGTTCTGAGTTGGGCTGTAGTAACATTATAAGACTGCTCACTGAAGTGTCAGTGAATTTCAGTTTTGATGAAAAGGACAACAGTACCATCTGTCCCATTAACTTGAATTCTAGTGGTTCCATGATGCTTGAATGTGAATTAAGGATCCAGAATGAGAAGGATGAAGTTCCCACAGCAGCAGAGAACTTTACAGTGAATGCACTGTCATTGCAAAGCATTGCTAGTAGAGTAACATAAATGGAGAAACTGAGGCTTAGAGAGGTCAAATGACTCACCTTTAAACAGAGTCACYAGGGAATCAACATGGAATGGAGCCTCATGACTTTTTGTAAACATGATCCTCCCAATTAGTACTAAGTATTAAGACAAAACCCAAAACACCAATAAATGTTGGTGTTTTAATTTTTTTCTTACCATCTGTAAAACAGGCTTCTGGCTCATCTGAATTCACAGGTTCAGCCTCGGCTTCCTCTCCTTCTCCTGGCAGAGGGTTATCAACTGTGCTGCACTCAGAGGAACTCAATCGGCTTAATCTCTGAAAAGGAATTTACCACCCCCCAGAGAGATCATTTAGGGTCCATTCAAGTCTTACRTATAAGCCTCATTTAATAATCAGTCATGCAAAGTGTTATGAAAAAAGTTTCACAGTAAGATGGCCATACAAATGTATAAACACACATTGAGGTCAAGGAACCTCACAATGCATCTGTACTTGATCGTTCTATCTACACATCCTGGGAAAAATACATTGTATTTTTATGAAGCTAACAGATATTTGGACAAAATTCTCATAGGCAATATTTTGATGTTAACTATGTGGTAAGGCACTGGCCACATCTTATTATTATTTTATGTTTAATATAAATATATATAAAACAGTAATTATTTTAATACAATGAAGACCCTAATAGAAATAACATATAAGTATCAAATTGCCAATTCTGGAGAGTTGGAAGGTCATATCCAACAGTTGGAACAAAAAGTTTGTAAACATTAAGATAAAATAATAGCATAAAATAAAAGCTAAACATTCTTTATTTCTTGAATTAAAAAATATGTAGCAGGATGATATAGATAGAAGGTCTCTAAAGGAGACCCACCRAATCAAATAATGCATAGGAATCAAAATGTGAAGGACCATACTAACATTATCCATTTTATTTTAAAATTTTAGGATACAGTAGGACAGAGAATAATGTATTATTTATAATGCCCAAAGAGTGGATACTAAAGGGAACACCCCATGCAAACTCTGAAGCAAAGATTCAGTGAAATCAAACATGGCAGACTGATACACAGAACAATGAATTCAGTGTCATTATTATGATCATCTAGCTGATCATAACAAGCAACTCCCCCCAGAACTATGAAAACATGATGTCTATACACACTTACACGGAAGTTTTTATAGCAAATACATACAGAAATTGTAGCAAAACTCTGTCAAATTTCCTTAATCTTGTTTTACAAAGAAATAGAGCAACATATTAATGAAAGTGTTCATTTTTCATTTTCATTTGTTAAATGACATGTGATTATGTAAAGCTATTAGTTATTAAAACACATGCTTTTCTCATTAAGATTACAGCTGTAATTTTGGAGCATAGGTTAAGCAAATGCAAGTACTAAGACAAGGAAGGATAAATGAGAGGTATTAGGATGGGAAATTGATCAAATTGTGTTCTATGCAGACGAAAATGTACTATAATAAAACCCACTACTCTGTATAATTAGTGTGTACCAATAAAAAAATTTAAGTGACACAAKTAATGTACATAAAGAATAACTTAAGAATAAGTCCTTTTTATACATGTTTAGCCTCGATTGGCACAGATGCATTATTTCTACTAGGTTGAGGAGTTTGTTCATAGTATCAGTTATGAATAACATTGATATAAAAATTCATTTAAATGAACTTTTAAAACTRAATTCATTTAAAGTTACTTTAAAATAAGAAAGGGAAAAAGAAATCAATTATAACTGAATATTCTATAAAACTTAATGCTATAAAATATACATTAAGTCAGGAAAGAGCATTGGAAAATCTTAGATATACTAATATTATTATTGTGCCAATTATCACAAAAGCTGATATTTTTTTTACTGTCTCAAAAAGACTGTAATTATTTGATATAATAAATTCTTTGACTTCTCACCTGTAAGTAAACTTTCACTCAGGAACTGGAAGACAAGTCTCTATGTTTCTATGGTGYTGAGATGAAGTCCTATAACCCTGAAAATAACTACTGGCCTAGATTTTGAGGCAAAACAGTAGTAAGAATTGCTAATAGAAGAATATCAGGACCTCTCTGGTACTAGCCAAAATATTAAYAATAGAAATAGTGGTTTTCTCTCAACTGTCAACAACTTTTAAATAAAATTTTATCTGCAGAATTCTGACAGTCTAGATTAATGAAAGCATATTCAATATCAGTATTTGGTTTCTCACTGTTTAAAAGGGCATTGGCAAAGAAGATTCAGGCTGAGTTAGATAACGAGAAAGTGATAATTCAGGAAAATTTATGTAGTATATCTTGCCACTGAAACTTTCCTTTTCAAATACAGGTTTTATGGTAAATTTTGTCAATTAAATTCAGGATATTACTCAGATTTTACATCAAAATTAAAACAATCCAGTAATATTCACTGGAACTGAATTAACAGAGTAGTCAGCATAAATTATAATTAACATAGATCACAAATCAAATTATTGTGGTCAATAGATTTTTAGATATTTACTGCTTTCCTGCAAATGCATTAGGTATTCACATAGTAGCTATTTYAGTACTTTATATAAAATTAAATATATATAATTCACATACCTTAGCAATGGAGACTGTTGAGGTCTAATCTATTCACCCTTTGAAATCTACACTTTTTAAGGTACAAGTTTCTTTAATGGGATCCTAAAAGTAAGTCTTTAAATTGAAGGCTAATATCCTTAAAATTTGTCTCATTTATTTTTACTACACAGAAAAGATCATGCCAACTATATATGTCTTTCTATWCTAATTTTATGATTGCCTTCATTTTTATAAATTTGATCTTTTTATTTAGTTTTCTTTGTAGTTTTGGAAAAGAAAGAATATGCTATGTTCAGARAAGTGAAATAAATATTTTAGTATGATGAAATGTCATTTTGATATCACAATTGACCTTTCTGTAATTTTCAAAGAGGTTTGATTTTAACATAAAATTTCCTTTTTCCATTTTACTTAGTTTTTAACAATTTTTTTTTAATCTTTGGCAGTCTTCATACTAATAAAATTAAAACTAAGCATAGACCCAAGAAGGTGAACTCACTGTTGTAAGGAATAGAAAGAGTTCCACAGTTACATTCTTTCCTTTTATTGAATAAGGTGATTTGAGTATACCTTCTAAAATTCTTTCTTTTCTTTTTATAAAAACAACACATTTGATTCAAAAATTTTAATCTTTCAATATTCTTCAATGTGTATCCATTAAACGTGGTAGTTCTGAAGCAATGCTTATCTTAATGGTGAACTTATGCAGCTATCTAAGAAGCCTCTTTCTTTTATTGAAAATATGATTAAATCAAAACCTTTATTATTCTTTTTGATTGGCTTGAAGGTGTGTTTTCTACAATATTATGTGAGTAGAGACATTATTAAATATGTGTCTTAGTAGAAAATGCCCTACGTCATTCACTTACTAATTTATTACTGATATTTCCTGAGATAAGCATTAATATTACAAGGATATTTCATGTTGTTATGAGTGGTAGTTAATTCTAGTCAATAATTTCTAGTTCCAAGAGGAGTGAAGAAATATTATCTAATGACCTAATGATCTGCCACTCAAAAGCAAAAACCATCAAACACAGCAGCACTGTAGAGAACACAGAAATGAGAAAAATCTTTCTCAAAAAGGAGGACTGACATCGAAAATATCTCAGAGATATTACATTTAAAGTACATACCATAAGGCTGCTTGCTTCAAAACAGAAAATAAATATTMTTTTAAGGAGCAGAGCCTAGAATATTTATTTCACTGGAGTATCAACACAAAGATACAAAATAGACAGCAAGAAGGTTGAAAGAAGCAAACTGAAATAAAGGTATTGGCACAAAAAAGAAAAATTATGGGAGACATTAGTAATAAGTTAAGCTCCATTATGTATCAATAAGCAAGAAAAACAATTTGATTAGGTTCAAGTTCATTATCACTCATTTTTAAATTCAACAACCCAATATTGCAGTCCATATCTGTAATGATATTCCTGAATCATTAAGGAGGAAAATAAGGTTCAGAATAAAAGATCACAAGGACTGGGGTTGTGGCTCAGTGGTAGAGCATTTGCCTCCCATGTATGAGACCCTGGGTTCAATCCTCAGCACCACATAAAAATAAGTAAACAAAACATAAAAGTTACAAAAGAGGAAAAAAAGAACAATTCCAGAATAAAAGATCACAGTCATCTTTCTCTACTTAGAAGTATCATGGTTTTTTAAAAGGTATTGGAGAAAATACAAGCTTTATTTTTGCATAGCCTTTTTCAATTAGAGATCACCTATGATATTATCACTTGTGTTTTCCATCTTGAATGTAATAAAATTTAGTTTCTTTACCTGATTTAGATTTCTGGACCCTCAATCTGTTTCTGATATGTCTGAAATTGCCCATGTTAAAAAAGTACTCTAGATATTCTTGATCGATGGAAATATAATATTACTTTCCTCTCTGTTATCAGGATTCTCATATTCACTGACTTAACAGATAATGTTTGGCTTATTTACAAGTTGCAGCAAAATATTGGCTCACACTATAATTACGAGTAGCTAAAATTCTGCTTTTTCAAATCAGAAAACAGATTTTTTTTTCTTTCTCTAGTATTCTTTTGTTGTTRTTGTTGTTTGTTTGTTTTTGTTTTTGTTTTTGTTTGCCAGCAGAGGAATCTTGTATAGACTCATGGGAAACAGCTGCTCATTCCTCAGTAAATGCACTTCACAGTTCCCTCACAGGTCAACATGGAGATGGAGGAATAACAAGGTCACATAGTAGTCACCACCAGGGACATTAAATATAAAACCAATGGTTTTATCGAAAGGTCTTATTTTTCCCAGAGTCTTTCACCTAGGACACTTTCAATMCAGTAATATGACAATGGATAGAATTAAACATAAGACATTGAATATAAAGCAAACAGAAAAAAACAGTAACATTTGGCCACACAAGACTGGACTCTCAGTTTCTCAGCTTCTAAGGAAAAGGGACAGGGCATTCACCAATAAAGTCTTGGAATATAAAGCACCAGTCTGTAGTCAAGGGCTCTGTGCCCAGTCACTAAAATACTCGGCTGGTTGTTTTCAGAAAACAAGTATTAAATTAACTGGATTACAGTGTTTCCAATTAGAAGTGTTCTGTAAACTTTGGAAACAAACATTTAAACATTGTTACTACTGAGACCTGCTGGAAAATTGCAGTTAGTGGGTAAACAAGGATTGCAACCTAAATAAACCTGAAGGCAGAATGTGAGGTTAAAGTGTTGGTTCTAAGATTTGAATATGTTAAATA